GATGGGAGGGGTGGGGAGGGATGGGGAGAGGAGGTGAAGTGAAGTGAAGTGCCGTGGATTGGGCTGATGGTAGTCGAGAAGCCCTCATGAGAGCAGCACAGCACTCAATTCATTGATCAAAGATGCAGCTACAATTACAATAGTCACAACAACAACAATAACAACAACAATAACGACGACGACGACGACGACCAGGAGATGCAGCGTTCAACATGCCGCAATTACAGCTATAATTCGGGCCTGCAACCGTTATTCAAATTGAAATTCAAATTCAAATGTGAGCTGCAATTACCAACCCTCCCCAACACGCGGCGGCATTGCGAGTGGGGTAACAAACAATCGCCAATTGGCATATAATGATCCCCTTTGGACGTTTTAACTGACTGAACGGCCTGAATGACTGACTGACTGACAGACAGACAGACAGACGATAGAACGGGATAGAATGTCTACTGGCTCAGCCACCAGCAGGGACATTCAAAATAATTCTCAGGCCTTGACAAATGCACGTAATGATTGGACTCACACTTTGGTTTATGCTTTTTTAACAATTTACGCGGAGCCTTACCCTTACCCTTTACTCTTTCCAAGTAACACTCACAAGTTCTCACACTCTGGCTGTTCGTCATAATTTTAGGGGTTGTGCAACTACAGACCTACAGCTGTTCCCTTAGATGGGCAAACAAGGTCTGGGGCGGGGCATGGGAACGTTGGATAGGATAGAGAGTGGATAGGAATGAGTACTACTCGTACTACCATGCCCCATGAACATCTTTGACTCCTGTGGTGATTAATTGTCATTCGGGGCAGTCACCGTCACCTGGGCCTGCGAGCATAGACATAGGCCTAGGCAACATATGCATAAGAGCCCATTCGGGTTTTGGGTTCGGGTCCGGGTTCAAGGGACGCGACTTAGCAGTGGATTAGATGTCGATCATCGATATGGCGAGAAAGAATAGGCTCGTTTCTTTCGGCAGCGGCTTTTGTTCTTCCCGAAAGACGAGAGTAGGTAGCTGAAGCCAGAGAAACCGTCGTAAATTGTTGTATTGATCCGACATCATCGATGTTTGCGAGTATAAAGGCGGAATGGAATTAATATGCCTACGAGCTAGGTAGTTCAGTATCAGTTTGTATACAGAGCCTAGACCAAGGGTAGGGTAGATTACAGGGTTGGTCTCTCGAACAGATGAACCAGTGTATCTTTTCCATGAGGGCAGGGCAGCTTTCTTTCCTCATCTGGCCTCACATGGCAGCCATCGATTCAGTTTTGGCATCACAAATTAGTCCGCAGCTCCGACGAACTTTCGCCTGAAGTCTGATGGTCAACATTTGTTTGGGCCGAGGCCACTTTCGGACACATTAGACATTAGAACTTTGCTAATAAGATACAAATGATAAGAGTCATCACTTCTCCAACCAGTTGGCCGGCTTGTCCTACATTCAGCTGATGGAATCATAAATAATTTCTTTATTGCATGCAGCCTGCTTTATCTCAAATAGTATCTCGAGCAACATGCGTTCTCCATGTGACAGCAGTCCATAATTCATGGTTGAAACATTTGTTTCTACTTCTAATTCCCCAACAATTACGCTTAATTAATTTAAAGATGTTTCTCGTTGTCGATGTCGCCGTTGTGCTTGTTCTCGTGTATCTCCCGTAGAGTTGTTTCATCATCCCCGCATCGTACCCCTGCGTCATGGCCAACGCTCGTCACATACAAAAGTACACACATTTTTGAACAGTTATGAGGGAGGACTGATGCCGGGCCGGCAGTCATTCAGCGAGCAAGGCAACGTCTCTTATAAATAGATTAATTAAAATCATCTTTAATTGTTTGATTACAAGACAAGCGTTGCCCGAAAAAATTAAAAGCGAGCGGAGCAGCGATCTCACAATAGCAGCCTCTGTCAGTCTGCCGGTCTGGCAGTTTGGGAGTCGAGTCTGGAAGCACAGGAGTGTGTGGGCAAAATGCGCAACATGTGAAATACAGATGCGGCAGCGATTGCGATTGCCATAGGAACCAGCACGGTCCCTTGAGTATTAAAGATTTCATTTGTGCTACAGATGTTCCAGAGATTGTACAACATAACTACATACATGCTCGTACGAGTGTTGTCGAGGAGTAGCTCCAGCACAGCACACAAGAGTCACACGCAATTGAAGCAGCGGCATCTGCCACATCCACATCCACTTCAGGCAGGGCAGTCGCCATCGCATAGCGTAGCACATATCTGCCGCAGCATTTCGAGTGGCATTTGATTTTAGTACTCAAGAGCTCGAGTGTGTGCGTGAGTGCCCCCGAAGTATAAAAATTATTGCTGCCAAGCAACTGAGTCGTCAGCCAGCCATCAATTATTTTATAGAATGCTCACTTGTTTTGTGTGCTCTGCTCTGCTCTGCTCTGCCCTGCCTTGCTCCATTCCCCATTCCAGTCCCATTCCTCTCCTCCTCTGGTAGTCGTATTGTCTGCATGTGCGTACTCCGCCTCCCTCTGCTCTGTTTTTTATTTCGTCCGTCCAACCGAATCTCTGTCGCCGTCGTCGTCGCAGTCGACATTTGCCCCAACAGAAGAAGTTCACTTGGAAGTTTTCATTCGGCACAGGAAGGGCTTCTCCGGTCCTCCGTCATCCGTTCTCAGTCCTCAGTCCTCCGTCTTTGCGGCAATAGTTGTGATATTAAATTGAATACGACGCCGATTATCCCACGCAATCTTTCATTCACAGCCATCCATCCATCCGCCCAGGCTAGGAAGAAGCTCTCCGTGTCTCCCCCACGTAGCTGGAGACAGCGTCAAAGTTCGGCGGGACTTCTGAGTAATCACCCCTTACAAAATACGAGTACGAGTAGGATTACTCAGCCTCGCATATGTACATATCTCCGGCCATGCATCTCGAGCTGCGTGCGTGTGTCACGTCACACAGATTGTCAGTCAGTCAGTCAGTCAATCAGTGGGAGGGTCCTCCACACATTCGCTTGCGTGCCGAAATCAATGCAAAGTTTTTGTATTTGCGGCGACAAGTTTGCTTTCAATAAATAAAATCGATTTGGATTAACAAGTGCACACAAAGCCAATGAAAAGCCGCTGATAAGCGCCGCCGCGCACCATCCATTTGGCCTACTTTGCTTCATTAAAAACCTATTAAAAAGTAATGCCCCAGTATCAGCATCCAGCGATACGATACATTGACGATTGGCGATGTCGCCCTGATAAGGCAGGCATCCTCTGATTGAAATTGTGAACATTTAATGTGCCATTCGCTGATTCATCTTTCCAACAGGCAGGTTTTCTGCGACAATATTATTCTCGCATATCGATTTGCGATGTATTCTAGTGCGAGTTTGATTATGGCTTCAAAGTAGCCCTGCAAATAACACGGATCTGGGACCTAGTCAAACAGAGTCTAGACAAATCGAAAACAAAACGAACCTCAATATTCCATCTATAATTGAATGCACACAAAACAAAGTGTGTGTGTGCATTACCATCGAAGAGAAGGGGCAGAGAAGACCATTATAATCTGGTCAGCTACATGAGCCCCACACATCCGTGCCTCCATACATCCATACATACACATCCATTTGTCCGCACCAGCCCGATATGGGGAATATTGACAGACACTCAAGTGTCCCACAAGCACCCTGTAAATCCAATTGAATTACGCATAAAAGGCGCTTAAGCCAAATGAAATGATGATGATGATGACGATGACGGTGATAATGATGAGAAAGACGATGATGATGTCGCTTAAGCCTCCAATGAAATGTATTATTCCCCTTTAATTTCTTATTACCCGATATTTTATTACGATTCGTGGTCACGGCTCCTGAGAACGTGGAGCGTGGAACGTGGCGCATGGTCCCGTCCCTCCTAATCGTACACACTTTTCACATATCACCGTTTCCGCAATATTTGCATATTGACTTTAACTTGATGCGCCTTTTAATGGACGTCATCAACGTCAGCGCTAGCGGTGGCAGCAATATGATTCGTTTTGAAATGCTGGAGGTGGAGAGTGTTGGCAGGGGGAGGTGAAGTTTTAACTTATGCATGATTAATACATAATTACAAAGCCAAACACATAAACCTCAAACTCAAACTGAAAGGCAAACTCAAAGGCAAAGCCAAAGGCAAAGACTGAAGCCGGAGCTATCGCACCGTTCGTGCTGGTATGCATCCATCTCTGTCCCTCCACAGATAACTACATAATAATTCAGAAACTCAGAAAGACAAAAGGCGCATTTCCCACAACACTACAACAACAACAGAACAGAGCCACGTCCCTCCGTGCCACAACGTCCTGTCTAGGTGCGGTGCCCGGTGCCCGGTGCCCGGTGCTCGGAGCCCGGAGAAGGCAAACTGCACTCGGTGGAGTGGAGCATACTTATACCTGTTATTAATATTTCGATTAGGTACCAACGATTCGTAGAACCTGACGCATGACTTGCATAGCTAATGGGAAATTTTGTAACTTGTGGGCATTTGAGCTGCCCTACACTTGGACTCTGAGTGCGGAGAGTATTGGCCCTTTGATTGATGATGACAACTTATCGATTACGCCCGTAGGAGCAGGAAGGAAGTGTCGGCTAGTGTCATTACCAGCTTCTTTTCAAATATATTCTGAAAAATGATATCAATCTGCGTGAACTGTAGAAGGCTAAACGGATGCTTGTCTGAAAGATGGTGCCAACCCAAGGGTAGGGTAACCGCAAGTCGGAATAAATGTCCGACTGCTCAGGTTGGGGATACGAACACTCTCGACAATTCATAGACACTTTTCGTCGCTTGACAAACCTCTCGATGTTCTTATGCCTGGTGCTGGAAGAGTATGGGTATGAGAATGGGAATGGGTATGGTGAAAGGCAAAGCGTAAGACCACAGAAAACCCAACGAAGTAGTGGTTATCTTTTAGTCACAAAGTGAGGGAATTGCAGTCTCGGCTCTTGATTGAAAAAGTAAATCCCACTTATAGGTTTTTTTTATCTGACTTTCCAGATCGCATTTACCACAGCAACAAAGCGAGTGTGCAGCTAATGCTAATGCCTGCAGCTATAGCACCAAAGCCGAAGCAACAACAGCAACAAATACTGCCACAAAGGCCAGGGCCAGGGCAGGTGCAACAGTCGCACAGGAAACACAGGACAAAGGCAGCGGCAACAGCAGCGGCAACGGCAACGGCAACGTTAACACGTACAGAAACGTAAAAACTGACAACGAAACCTAAGCAACGAGCATGACGTCGTCGTCGGTGATTAATAAAGCCGGAAATGTGATTGTACTCATAGTGAACCTTCAGCTAACATGGCTAGTGTTGGCCGTGGCAAGGGAGCTGCCACAGGTGGACTACGGCAGCATGTCCGACTCCATGGAGGAAGCTGGGATGAGCATTGACCCACTGACTGCTATGGCGCCCTTCGCCAACGCCCCCCTGGTCACTGAGGACAGCGCCCCACACAGAACCAATATCGAGCTGCTCAGCAATAGCAGCGAGGACGAGAATGGGAGGATTGGGCTAGGCTCCTCCTCGGCAGCAGCGGCAGGCACGCTTCTGGAGGAGTTCAACGGCGGCAAGCTCAGTCCCGCAGAAGCCAGCAACACGCTGCCCATTTTTCTCAGCGAGCCGGAGAGCGTGTTTGTGGTGAAGAATCGTCCGGCGGTGCTCAAGTGCAAGGCCTCCCACTCGCTGCAGGTGATCTTCAAGTGCAGCGGCAGCTCCCAGCCTCCGCCGTCGACGCATGACAAGCACGTCGATCCACACACGGGCGTCCACATGGAAGAGGTCACGGCCACCATTCACCGTGATCTGGTCGACGAGTACTTTGGCAAGGGTCCGTTCAAGTGCGAGTGCCACGCTTGGTCGTCCCGTGGCGTGGTGAAGAGTCAAGCCGCCACAGTTCACATTGCATGTGAGTACCGCACCCTGGGCTAGGGGTGGATTCCTGATTCGAATAGGCAACGGGTCCCTCCCTATTCCTATTCCTATGCCTATCCATATCTCTATTTATATCTGCATTTATATCTCCCCCTAACAGATATACGCAAGACCTTCGGCCAGTCACCCACATCGCTGCGGCTCGAGCTGGGCAGTCGGGCGGAACTGCACTGTGAGCCACCCGGAGGCTTCCCGGAGCCGAAGCTCTCCTGGTACAAGAGCAACGCGGTAATAACCTCCGACAGCGAGCCGGGGCTGGCCGTGGCTGGCGGCACACTGACCTTCCGCCCGGTGGCGCTGCAACACATGGCCAATTACAGCTGCAGTGCGGAGAACATTGCGGGAAAGCGGGTCTCCGACTCCGCTGTGCTGATTGTCTACGGTCAGTGTGGTACTCGTGCGACTGCAATCTCAAGTTATGCTTATTCTTGTATGTTTTTCGCCCCTTAGTGAATGGAGGCTGGAGCACCTGGAGTCCTTGGCGCGAGTGCAAGTGCGCGGGCAAGCCGAGCCAGGGACGAAAGCGGTCGCGCACCTGCACCAATCCAATGCCCTTAAATGGGGGCGCCCAGTGTCCAGGCCCCCAGATACAGAAATCTGCGGACTGCGCCGCCTGCCCAGGTATGTCCACACGGTATATGTATACATACCATATGCAATCGTAAAATATACATATATGTATATGTAAGGGATGTGGTTATTCGCAAACTGGGGGCGTGTGGCTGTGGTTGCGCCCACTTTGTTGTGTGTGCGCGCCTTTAATGTGGGAGCACTATTGTAACACCAGCAAAAGCAACGAAATTGTCAATTTAAATGCCATTTGCGGTCGGGACTCAGCGTCGTGCCACCTGAATGCCCGCTGCCATTGACGTCTCCTGGAGCGTTGACAACAGCGCACATTTTTCATACCAGTGCCAGGGCCAGTGGAAGTGCGGCAGTGGCAGGGAGGCTGGCAAAGAGGGGTAGGATAGGACAGTCCAAAACCGAAAGCACTGCACTGCATGACGCAAAAGTTCAAGAGGCGTTTAAACAAAAAAGAAAAGAAAAGAAAAGGACCTGCGGTCACTCCGATATAAGAATACCCTTTTATATGAAGGCGTCCCTTGCAAACGGAGAAAAGACTCTTATAGTCCGATGCGAACATCTTCAGGGAATCATTATACCCATTTTTAGTGCAATACATATTTGAGTGAGTGCTGAGTATTTCATTTTAAACACGCATTCGGCAATCGGCTTCTGTGGGTGCCTTTGCAGCGACGACAGATATCTCCACATGCATATAGATGGATAGATTGGAGCGACTCCGTGGCTGCGTGGCTGCGTGTCTGCGTGTCTGCGTGGATGCTGTGGGGAACGGGAACGACTGCCTCCGGCAAGCTACTGACTAAATGGTGACAAAGGCATGCGTCCAGGGGAGGGGGAAGGGACATAGCCTGGTCTCCGGACTCCGGACCCCGGACTGGAGACTGGGGCTGAGACCGAAATCAGGAATGGGGATGTTCTCGTGGTAGCTGGGGCGCTTTTGGTTTTTTTTTTTGACAGACGCACGGGCGGCATGTGTTTGAGACTCTTCACTTTTATTCATGTAAATTTATTGTATTGCATTGTATTGTAGTGCTCACACAGATACTCGCACACACACACAAGCAATAGATACTTGGCCAGGCGCACAGCGGGCACAGCAATGAGCAATTGTTGACAGACAAGCGGGACAAATGGTGAGGGATCCGGAGGGGAGGCAACTGTGCAGGAGCGATGGCAATCCACTCGAGTGGGGAGTGGTGTGGGGGTGGTAAGGGTTTGGCTCGGAGGAGGGGGATGCTGTTGTGGGCTTTTATTCTATGAAAAGTGTGTCATAAAATTAATTTTAAATTTCGCTTGGGTTTCGTTTTTTCTCTTCCATCTTATAACTTTTCATCCCCATGGAACCGTGTCAACCTTATGGTCCTGCTTTTCACTCATCGCCCTCGCCCCGCCCCCGCCCACGCTGTGTGCCGATGTCGCCTGCCAACAACAGAGGATACTCAAATCGTGAGCACTGATGGATTTGACATTTCGTCGAGTAAGCGCAGTAAGTTGAAACGAAAGCCTGACAACGTGCATTTCTTTCAAAGGCTTCCTTCCCTTCCCGAGGGGAGGAGACCAGGCCTTTGGGGACTTGCCATGGGGCGAGCATTCAATATGACATTGTGTTCGAGCAGTTAAACTTGAATGCTTAACGAGGCAACGACAGTTAAATTTTTTAGTTGGGGTTCCCCGACCTTACCATACTCTCCCCCCGCCCCCAGTAGTTGTCAGATTCGCCGGGCCTTAACAATTCAATAAACAATTGTGTTAAACTGAGCCCAAGCCATCAGTGCATTAGTGCCCAACCAACCATCCCATATCCAACCATCGAATAATTCGCCACGGGTCGGTCTTCCCCAAAACTACCCGAACTGGCTTTAGCCGAAGTGACTTACTTTTTTTTGGGTCGTCGCGGCAAGTGACGTCACTGCGGCAGATAGAAACTTAAAAATCACTTACCACGACTCACGCTCTCTGATTCATGCAACAGTCGGGCTGGCTGGGTGGGCCAGGGACCCTTGCCTCGCCATGGCTAGGATGACGATGCGGATGAGGATGAGCATGGGAGGATGCGTGCGCTGGAATGGGGAAAGAAATGCCAGGGCATAGGATAGTGCTGACAAGGGGCAACAAGGCCGAGGAGCTGCCCTTATGGGGGTGGTTTTATGTTTCCCAAAAACAGGAAGTGCCAAATGCCGATATACATACAGGCATGTAGAAATATATATGTATATTTACTATATATATTTAGCTGCCATAGGCATGCATCATACACACACACTATGATATAGCTGGCCCCCCCACTCCAAGAACATTTTTGTTTGGCTTTCGGACTTTCCGTTTTCTCCCCCAACACCAAAATGGAAATTGAAAAAGCAAAGAAAATGCGAAAATAGAAAATAGAAAAGCATTAAAATGACAATCACTTTTGCTCACCCACACAATCTCCTATCCAAGAATCAACAGGGGCAGTGGCGCTGTGATTTGAATGGTGCTTAAGGAAGGGTGCTCTACTGGTGCTCTATTTTATGGTGGGAACAACTTTCGATTTCTCCCAACGGACTATCTATTAGTCCAAACCATCCACCATAGTACCGTCCCACCACATATTTGGGGCAAACGGTGCTATATTTGTTGCATCCATGACCCCCTGACAGCTACAGCCACAGCCACAGCCACGTCCTGACTTTGGCTTTGGCTATGGCCTCCACGTGATATATGAGTCCGGGAGTGGCGCTGTCTGTCGGGAATGTGTGCTAAATCATGTTAATATGACTTTTGATTTCTAAACTGCCCTTTCTCCCCACAGTGGCCCGCTGGTCCGCGTGGAGCGACTGGAGCATCTGCTCCGCGGAGTGTATTCAAGTGCGTCGCAGAAAGTGCCTCACCCAGACGTCTGACGGCGACGAAGCCGGGGATCTGCTCCTGGCTGGAGTGGGCATGGCAGCCCTCAGCAGCATCAGCGGAAGCGCAACTCTGCTGGATGCTACTGCGACTGACGGTGGCTCAGGATATGGCAAATCATTGTGCGCCGGAAAAGACACACAAACGGCAGAGTGCCGTGGAGAGCAGTGTCATATTGGCAAGGATGGTAAGTGTGTTTATGTCAACGGCAGGGGCAGGAAGGACAGAAGGACGGAAGGACAGCAGCAGCAACAGAGTAGACAGTTAGACAACAATAACAATCACAGTCGACAGAGACACAGTCCAGGTCCCAGCTCCCAGCTCCCAACTCCCAACTCCCAACTCCCAGATTACAGTTCTGTCTCTTGTCGACCCAACCACACAAAAGCCGAGCACTCAACGCTGATTGTCACAATGGGAAATTAACCAAGTGCATTTTGTTTGTGCACGGCATCCATCCCGACCAAGAGTAGCTGTATTTATATTCGTGACAGAAAGAAAGGACACTTTCCACCCCGAAGCCCATGAAACCCCCAGCTCTTACGCCCCCAAACCCAAACCCTAACCCGTATCCCCAACTCCAATTCCAGCTGCAGAGCCCAATCGAAGGGTCGCAAATCAATCGCAACAGAGTTCGGAATTGAGATTTAAGCTGCTGTGGGCTTGTGTGCTTTGCCAGATAATTAGGCATGCGGCGAAGACGGCAACGGCAACAGCAATGTCGTGACGTCGCATCCCCATTCGCATCCTATTCTCTAGCTCCGGCCATCGCCAACCCCATTTAGAGCTTTTCCCGTGTCATTGTTGCTGTTTGCCTCGATTCTCGATGGGATGGAGTGTAGGATTGACCCAACTCAAGCATAGTTTGGGGTCTGTGTGCGGTCCATAGGGATCAATTAGATGACTGTCACACTGTGTAATTGAAAGGATCAGGGTATAAGGACTTGGTTGGCATTCGATTGCCATTCGCACATCATACGTACAATACAATACAATGTTTGATGTTTCGCAGGTTTTGTGCCCTTCTTCGACTGTTATTTGATTGCTGTTGAAAAGTTTTCGAAGGGGAGAATGAAGAGTGACAAGTTTTTGGGGCCCCGGAACTAGGAACAGCTTATTTTCCGTTTTATTACATTTTGCAAATCCAGTCCCTGGGGATACCGATACCTGCTTGCGATTGCTCCAAAGGCAACAGTTGCGGTCTTCGTTGTGGGCCATTGTCATTGCGGGAGGCCCCCAGGCCGACCGATCAACCACCCGATATTAAAAGCGTATTTGTCATGCTAAGGGGACTTAGGGGGACTTCGCTTTTGATGTCCCGTCCAGGCACAGCGTCTAAAAAAGCAGCATGCAAGCTGCACAAAAGCGAATGAAAAACGAAAGCCCATGGAGTACGAGTATGTCTCTCCCAGTTGGGGATGACGGCTTTGCTTCTGTTTCTGTTTCCGATGCTGCCGCTGATTTACAGCGAATATAATTGCTCATTTCATACATTGTACAATGCGTCCTCGTCCTGTACCTCGTCCTCCCACTCTCTCAGGCTCGCTCTTGAGCTCGAGCCCAGAAGAACTGTGAAAAGCTCGAGCTGTACATCCCGAGTATAATAATCATAATATATATGGAGTAATTCCTTGCGCTGCAGCGATTCCTTTTCGCCAACCAGTCACAGCCAGCGCCAGCGCCAGCAACAATGACGACAACAATCACAGCAGCGGAAACAGGCAGCGCGCAACAATGGCAGTGGGGAGATGTGAGATGGGGATCGGGATGTCGTAACTGACTGGCTGGCGACGGGGGGCCGGCGGCGAATAATAATGCGAAATAGACGGACCTGGACTGGGGATGAGCATACAAACATAAAACATTAAATACAGACATATACAGTTCGCTCTGGCACAGCTCAGCAAGCGCCAAAGCGCCAGATACGGATACGCATGGTTGCTCAGGATTGATGACAATGGGTGAGGATGCGCCCCGTACCGACCCTGTTTGATTATGGAAAAGTTCGGTTCGGTTCAGTTCAGTTTTGGTTCGGTTTTTGGTTTGGTTGACTCAACATGTACGGGTATGTGTGGATTTTGCTTGCCAGGCATCCTCGAAATCATGAGGGTGGCGGATTACGCAGAGAATTCTTGGTGTTTTTTTGAATGCCATTCACACATAGATTGGAAGTTGGAAAGCATCTTAAGTCGGCTTAAAGTCCGTGCAGGCAATGTAACCATTTAGTTCACTGGAAAGTCTGTACTCTTCAGACAGTCTAAAGACACAGTATCTGGCAGAGATTGCTCCTTGCCGTGCGGAGCAACGCCCTTCTGCTGTTGGGATTACAGAATACAAAATGCGAAATCGGCAGTTTTATAAGAGTCCGCCTCACTTTACCATTGCAGATTTCGATTGGACACTCTATCTAGGACTGGCCTTCATAACCGCCGTTTTCTTTGCCTTTGGCGCAGCTCTCATTTGCTGTGCCCGCCGCGGGATGCGCGCCAATCCTCACTACAACATGGCCCGCTCAGGTGAGTATCGGGGTCCAACGACCCCGCTCCACGTTCTCTGGCAACAATCGAATATACGTATGTATGATTTCTTCCCGTTTGTCAGTCATGGATGCGGATTATATGCCCGGCGTTGTGGAAAAAAAGGAGATGCGAATGCACATCGAGGCCAGTAATTTGGGATATGATTATGTCAATCCTGGACATCGTTATATGCCTGGCGAGCACATTGTGGGCATGGGCATGGGCTGCGGCGGTGTAACAGAGCATCACTACGATGTGCCCAACCTGGCTGCCAAGTAAGTTTACAAGGGACCGAAAAGTTATTAGATTTTCAACTAAAATATATTTTTTATTTTAGTTACACCAACCCCATAGACGATCTTAGTGCTGATTATTTGTCAGAAACCGGAGAGTCATCCACTGCCGATACATGTAAGCAATTCAGATAAATGCTATCACCGAGACACACTAACGCTCTGATTTTCGACAGCCAATTCCACCTTCGATATGAACGCCAAGCTATCCCTACTGAATGCCTCGAAGAGCAGCAGCTACGAGCTCCTTGGCAGCACAGGAGGACAGCTGCGTCTATATGGCGGGGAGCTATTGCTCTTTGTGCCCGAGCATGCGATTGGAAAGAACCTGAAGAAGCACGTCTCGCTGCTGCTTCTGAGCGACGAGTGCAGCCGCGTGTCCTGTGCCACCGAGAGCTCCATTTTGTGCAGCAGCGTGGTGCATAGTGCACCGCGCAACTATAGCTTTGTGAAGCCCGTGATCCTGAAAATACCGCACTGCTTGGTGGCTCCGGAGCAGTGGCATGTTCACATCTATCATGCAGACAGCGAGCACGACGAGCTAAATGTCAGCTGGCGACGAGCGGTGTCAGTGGGAGAAGAAACCATTAACACGCCCATGTTCGTGCAGCTGGAGACGACGCATGTGTACATCATGACGGAGCAACTGGGCCATTTCGCCATCGTTGCAGAGCCACGAATTCAGCAGCCCGCTATTAAGATGAAGTTGCTGGTTTTCAGCCAGCACACTCCGCCCAGCAGTGCCAACTGCAGTCTGCGAATCTACGTGGTCAAGGACTTGCCCAACAGCAAGGACATCTGCGTTAGTGTGGAATGTAAGCTGGGCGGCAGCTTTCTGGGGGAGAGTCAGGTGTTTGCGTTCGAGCTGAACAGCCGCAATCTGAACATTCGCGTACGGTGCGCGGAAATGGAGGCAGGTGCTCCGTATGAACATGCCATTCCCTACCATCACATTCTGAGCAACAACTCCATACTACACTGCGAGTTTAGCATGCGACGGCTGGATCAGAGTACGCTGTGCGTGGACTTTGGCCAAGGCGGCAAGGATGACTCGGACTACTGTACTTTTAACATTCCAACCCACTCGATGAGCGGTTCTGCGGAAGAGCTTGCATCTACCACAAATACAACGATTTCCATTGATCGCCAGGGAAACTACGTCAATGAGAGTTGCGTGATGGACTTTGTCCAGCTACCGCATATGACAAAGCGCCTGATCTGTGCCGCACTCGATCCTCCGCGTGCCGACGAACGCGACTGGCGTCTCCTTGCGAAGAAGCTGAACACTGATCGGTATATTGCCTATTTTGCCACCAAGCCCTCGCCCACCGAGCAGATTCTCAATCTGTGGGAATGTCGAGCCAACAGCTGCTCCACCAACAGTTCCACTTCAGTTTCCCATACGATTATGGCACTCCTGCTGACGTTGAAGGAAATGGGACGTCAAGACGTCTTGGACATTATAGTGGAAACGATTGGTCCCCTGTGGATCTAATGGGTATCCACACTCCAACCAGTGTTGAAAGGAATGCGAATAAGAAAGCGGCAAACTAAACGATACACTCTTCCTGATTTCACCAGGTTTTCCAAGAACATTAACACACAAGAACTGAACCGAACCATCTATAATGTTTGTTAATATGAAATCACTGTGAATGGGGATACAGCTGTGTTGTCCGTTTAGCTTTCTGTTGAAAACAAAAATGTTCATGAGTTGCCTTTTATTTAAAAAATGTACGAACGAAGCGAAACGAAATCAGAAAACATGAATCGAAATGAAAATACTGAATCAAAGTGTAGATGTAGTCACACGAGTAGTTATAGTCCCTAAGCTACGAGTATTGTAGTGTTCTATTCTAAGGTAACTGCTCAACGAACTCTGTTCCCCACGGGTGCCATGCATTTAATATATGACTAAGAGGTGGAAATATAGCGATAAATTACTTGTGGCTTAGCAAACTTATAGTTTTAAACATAAACTCTAGTATTACGATGGAAACTATGTACGATAGCAACTGTAAGATATACTACACATACAAGTATGTATGTATCTCTGGCAGTACGACTAAGTGATGGCCGTATATAGACAACCTCCGCACGAATTTAAATGTGGAGTTGTGAACTGTTTGCCAAATCGTTGATTTTCTCAGCCCGCTCTATTAACGTATAGTCACTATGGAAGAACAGAATTAAGTACTCAAAACGATGCCATAGCACACATGCATATACCATACCTATACTATATAAACTATATAGCGAGCATATACATTTATACGAATATGTATATTTAGAATATAGTCTAAAACAAAAACAACAAAACGAGTAGTTTGTTAGACATGCTCAAGTGATAACCATTGTATTTGTCTTTAGTTATAAGTCCGATCCTGTCGTTTAATCGTTAATCAAGTAAACATTAACTGAATATTTACGTAAACCTTAGTGGCTCAAAAAGAAAGTTAGATAAAAATAAAATACAAAAAAACCAATCCGGGTGCCGTAGCTTTTATGATGAATATATCTGCCTTAATTTCAGAAGGAATGAAATATGTCGAGATGCAAAATATCCTTGGGCCCATAAATGCAGGATGCAATATGCATTTAATGCATGGCTTCCTGTCTGTCCATTGCTCCTTCGCCCATTGCTCCTTCTGGCATACTGTTACTCCTTCAGCCAATATATTGAAATACTTATCAGCAAATAGCAGAAAATCAAAGGATTAACGTTGACGAAGAGAATGACAGGAGAGGGGCGCCTCTGCACCACCCTTAATATTCGACCTCACTTTTGAGTAAATTATTAAAGGGCACCCAAAAATGCAGTATGCAGTGAACACACTTATCAGCATATAAACAAAGGCCTAACGATGAGAAGGGAGAGAGAAGGGCAGCCATGTCGCAAGTGTAACGATACAGGCGTGCATTAGTGTGCATGTATGCGTTATTTCCGACTGATTTGCCAAACATAATGTGCTCTCTTATGCCAATACTAATAATATCAATGTATGGACCGTATCCTTGAGCTGTCCCGTAGAGATGTCTCCCTCAATGTACTGGTTATCCAGCGGCAGAATGGTCATAATTTCCGCATAGTTGTTCAGCAACGAATGATGGAAACGCTCCTTCAGAGTAAGTTACTAAGCGCTAATTCCACAGGCTAGGAGATTTGAACTTCGCGGCTTATTTCCACTTTAATATCATTTTCATGGCTCCGGGCTTTTGTCAGAGATCGATAAGATAACCCTATATTGGCTCTGACAGAAGCTCGCTGCCATATACAAACCCTGACAGCATGGAGCGCCAGTGAGCCGCCAGGTTGATGCCATAGTGTGGAACCTCACACACAGATGGCTATGGCCTTTTAGTGAGTGTTGCAATGTTTTCGATTTTATAACACTTCAGTTTGATTAGTTTGGCGCCAAACTACGTACATATTATTACATTAATGCACGTTATAAAATTGACTTGTTTATGGGAAACATCACATTTTTGATGCAGCAAAAACATATATACAAATTCGGTGTTTTTGCGATAATTAAGAGAAGTGGCACTCGATTTGAGCATTGCCTACTGTTTCATTTAAATTAATAGATTAAAAAGCAGACTATTGGAAGGGTATATAAACTTCGGCCAGTACAAGCAAACTTTTCTGTGTTATTACTAGTTCTTATTTATTTAATTTTACGGCATCCATAACCTGCTATATGTCGCAACAAGATCAATTGATAGACTGCATTTCTGCACTTTCGTAGCATTCCTGGGTAATAGCGCCTGGAACAATTGGCATGAATTCGAGAAAATTAAGATACATGCAGCTACCAGTCAAGTTAAGCAATCAGCGTAGAGCACGGCAACGGCAACGGAACGGCGACTCGGACCTTTTAACGAGCTAAAGCTAAAGCCGAAACAGTCTGGACTCTGGCTTTGGGTCCGGCAGCAATTCTACAAATAACAAATCAATAATTTCATGCAACACAAAATGATTGCTGTTGCATTGGCGGCACCTTTTATATCCCTCACCATCATACGTATAAATAACTTTAAGCGATTGCGGTTTTTGCTCCATCTCCCAAATAGAAATCTACGAAGGCCACTGCCACTTACATTCATACAATACTCGTACAAACAAGCATGTAGGGAAAAAGCGTCTGTCGAGCCCCTGTCGCCATCCCGAAACCATTCCCGTCCGGTCCGTCCCCGACAGCAACTGCTGAAAAAAGAGATCCTGGTCATACTCTTACTTAGGACCATGAGCAGCCTCGTCGGCTACACTAGCCAACAAAATCGGATTTTTATTTCTTAACTGGAAGAAAATTTACTTTTTCATATAAACTTGCTGGCTCCTGGATTAACTTTGGCTGTTGGATAGTGTTATTGGAAGCCGCCGTCTCCGACTGCTGTCATCGTCAATTAGTTTTCTCACCGCAGACATAACAATATATTTTATGTATCGTTTGCTGACTCTTGCATTTGTGTGAGCAGTTGTACTCGTATTCGTCGTATAGACTTGACCGTCGAAGGTTTTGCATTTTTCAGCAGAAAGGACAGCGGGCAGAAGCATCGGCTCGGCCAATATCGTTGTCGCTTATTGAAAAATTTCCTAATTGGGTTGAAATTCCAATCTAACAACGATTTCGATTCGGCGCTGACAATTTTTAGCTGCCGCTACTGATGTTTCTGGTTCTGCCTCCCTTCAAGCTTCAGAGTTTTGTCGGTATATCTGGTGGCCATCGCAGCAGCTTATTTCGAACGCTACAAAATGTGGGAATCAATAAGTCCCAGCACCCGCAGGTGCAATATTATGGGTTTAGTCTTCATTTATACCTAAGCTTATTGCTTTTTATTTTTTGTGTGAAACTGTAGCTTGATTTGACGGGCAGCAGGTCCTTCAATCGAGAATGGGGTAATTTTACGAGTACATATACAAATAGCGTTCATAAAATGCCACATTGTTTCTCTCGAGAACTGTGCAAATACTCGTCCATGCGAGTATGTGTGTGGCCAACGGAAGCGACGTCTTCAAGTAATGAGTAAATATTGTATTAAAAAAGGTCCAACCAAACCACACATGCTCTGATAATATGTAGTTGAAAGGGCAATTCCCAAGATATCGGTTCTATTGCTCCTTGGGTTGCAGCACAAGCTTTAATGAAGCTATCGGTTTCAGGTCAAACCCAGTTTCCTCGGCCCAATAATTTGCATGCAATTTCACGAACACTCAATGGCGTAAGCCAACCTTTGATTAGGCCATGGCATAGTCAATCCAATAATTGCAGAGCTCGGGCAAGGCAAGGCAGATGGCAGCCCCAGCTGCCATTTTGAATTTGTCTGCCCTCCGCAAAGGGCGTGAAACATGAATTATGCTGCTGAGGATTCTGCGGCCCTTGTCTTCGACTAAGACAATGGACGAACGGGACGAACGGGACGGACGGAACGGCAAAGCGTTGATCGCAAGGCGTTGAAAGCGCTGGATAACCGCAAAAACACAAAACAATACAAAATACTCTGAAACGAAAGCAAAGCAACAACAAAAACAAAAACGAATATGCAGCCTGCAACATGTCGAAGCCTCAATGGACAGTCCGGACTGTGGACAATGGGGTCCAGTCCTATACATAAAACCATCGAAGACACAGCCAGTTTCAGGCCAAGATCCAAGAAATTGCAGACGTTTCGGTTGTATTACGAATTTATCTACCTGAGCAGCAACCATCGTCAATCGTCCATCGACGTTGCTGCTGTGCTGCTGTTGCCTGCATTGCCTGTGTTGCTTTTGCCGTTGCTGTCGCCGGATCCCCAAGGAGCAGCATCATAATGGCCACCGAACGCCAAACCTGGTGCTTCTGCTACCACCACCGAGCCTCTATTTGCGACCTCCGCAAGCTTTACATCCACATCCACATCCACATTGCCGTTGCCATTGCCATTGCCATTGCCCGATGTTTCGCCGTTTTCAGTGGAAATTGCAGTCCGAGCTGGAGCTGTGCCAGAGTGGCAGTGGCAGTGCCAGTGCCAGTGCCAAAGCCCAAGGTTCCTGGCTTATCAATACATTTGATATCTTTGCTGTAGGCACTGCGAACGTCGCGACGTTCGTGGCATCCAATTGGTACGCTGTATCGAAGCCGCATCCAAACGTTCTCGCCCTCGCCTCTGCCTCTGCCTCTGCCCCTGCCCCAGACACAGCCACAGCCCCATCCGCAGTCCTTCCTCCACGGCCTGTTGGTATTTCTGTTGCCTTTGAAGATTGGTTGCGTTTGCGTAGGATTCATGTTGTTACTTTGATGTGGACTGCAAGTCAACGCCATTGTTGTAGTTGTAGCTGCCGATTCTGCTGCTTCTGCTGCTGGAGGAGCTGCTTGGACGTCAGTTAACATTTCGAATGCCATACAAATCGACTATCGGACAGTGGCAATGGGGACGGCTGTCCTGTCCGGGTGTGTTTTTGCTCGGTGGCATTGTTGTATTGAATTGTAGCTGGTAGTTCTGTTCTGTTCTGTTTTGTACAATGTTTCAATTTCCTCTTCAGTAAACTTCGAAAAAACCAATTACTAAGCTGGGAAAATCGAAGAAATGCCCGATTTTCAATCGGGGTTATATAGGAAAAAGCAGGCAAAACAAGGTAGTACATACCTTATTGACATGTTTCGCTTTCGGTTGTGGCTCTTCTTATCCTGGTCCCGCTGTATTGTCTTATCCTTATTCTAGTGGTTTTTTCTGCGAATAACCCACAGCTTTTATTTATTTATTTATTTAAACAAACATTGCAACACTATAAATTAAACTCAAATTGGTATACAATTGTGGAGAATATTATTCGCGACTTTATAAGTAAAGAAACATTCACCAACGATTAAGTAATTCCGTACTTCTACTCCATTTAAAATCAAAACACAGTACACGTACAATTCATAGACATCTATGAGGTATAACGATTGTAGGAATTAGGAAAATTGGTATCAGTCTCAAAAGAAAATTTAAATTCACGACATTAGATCTCGTTTGTTTCAAGTCAGAAATTTAAAGCGAATAGCCACTATGCGCATAAGTATTTAAGATCCGGATGTCAAACAGAGTCGATGTAAGTTCCCTGTTCTTCAGTCTGTTTGGCCTCTGTTTTTCTGCATTATTGCTATAATTTTAATTGTTGGTATATAGGAAAATATATTGTTGATATAAATGTGTCAGCCGAAGCTTTTGTTTGAATTATACATAAAAAAAAAAGGATTCAAAGGTTTTATATTTCCAAACCATCACACAT